GAGAGAGAGATTAATCGAGCTCCGCACACCAAGAATATACCAACCACTAAACCAACACATGGTAGTGTCAGATATTTTGGGCAGGGAGAGAGGGAAAACAACAGTCCATAAGTGGATTGAGAGCCCCATCAGCTCAGAGGCATCACATGCACACGCATCTCTCAGCTGGAGCGCATCATCTGTCCATTCCGCCACTCACTCACCGCGCACGACATGTGAAGGTGTAACGCTCAAGGTGGTTTGTTGGAGATTTTGTATGGAGGCAGCGGGACATCTCCCCATAGTTCGGCGTAGAGTCTCTCTGAAGAGTGCGCGAGAGACCGACACCAGAGTTGCCGCGGCTCGGATTGAAGACCATCTGCTGATTTCCCCCAACAATCTGTGTTTTAGCGGGATAACCGATTCTCAGACGCGCCAGTATCTGGCAATTAGAGCTTTTCTGGATAACATATTACAATACTGCTTGTTTCGTGGGGGTCGCTGAGACCTGAACTACACCACCAGGTGCCCACAATTAATCTATTCACTGGATAACAATTAATACTGCAGAATGTGTTCATCTCCTTTTGGACTGCTCTCAATTGCGCTCTAGTGAAATATTTGCTCGGGACCACACAGGATGAAATGGACATCAGCACTGCAATAAATTATCCAAATTGAAATTCAGCGAGAAGTCTCATCTGAGCTATAGGAGTACATACATTTATGTATTCTGATTAAATCAGACAACGTTTGATAGATCGCCTGGCATCTTACTGACAGTGTGAAGTCTGGAATACAAGAATAAATGAACCAGAGTGGACAGACCGAGAATTAACAATATCCAACATGTTTAAACGGGGTAAGTGCAATTTACAACTTTTATTCCTTTTTAAATATACATAAGTTGAATTTTGATTTGAAAAATATTTATACTTAAAAATAGATTTAAAAAAAAAAAAAGAGAATAGATATCATCTTGTGTGGAATCACAGCATGCTAGGTTTATTTATGATTTTAAATAAACGATACATGTTTAAAAATACATTTATTTGAGCTATTCTTCCTTGTGAATTCTTCCTTATAAACTGTTTTTATTATAGATAAAGATGCGTGTTGCAGTTATTGCAACAATTATAAAGTGTTATTTTTCATATAATTTTTAATAGTTTTTTTTTAAGCTGTTTGAAATGGAAAATGACAGAGGTTTTATATACATACATAAAAGCAAAAATGCTTGTTGCAGTAGGTTTTGAAAGTTTATGTAGCAGGCTGTTAAGTTGTTACAGCTGTCATCCATGATCTTTTTCCCAGAATCATGTGTGTCTGCCCCCGGGTAAGCTCAGCGTAAAGCAGATGTGTTTAAAATATTCATCATCATATCATGAAATATTTTCTTAAGATGCTAGTGGTGGGTGCCGCACTGCAGTTTATGGCCGGTTTTTCATCAGAAAGCATTATGCTGTCTGCCTGGCTCCAGTATATTTCTCTTGGTGGCTTAAATAGGTTGGGCTCAGACAGTCTGTCACATTTATTTATGGACAATGTTTATGATCAAATGATGACGTGTAAGGAGTGAATGGTAGGTCGATAGATTAACTGGTTAGTGCTGAATCTGTCAGTGGGAGGCACTTGAATGACCTGCAGATTATTGCAAAGACTTGTCAGTCTGTTTTCACTAGATCGGTGGTTGTCAGTCCTGGCCCTGGAGTACCAGTTGAACCTTATTTAACACACCATCAGCTCATTACTAGAGGCTCCAGGACCTGAACAGGGTGTGTCAGATAGGGGAGACATCTAAAATGTGCAGTGCCAGGAACATAATTGACAGCCACTGCACTAGATCAAATCATACGTGGTTAAACAGATCATAAATATGACCGCCCAGTGTTTACTAGGACATTTCCTTTGCCCCATTTACTGCACATTTAATCGTCTCTAGACCTTTTGCATGGCACTATCACAGACGCTCAAGCTCTCAGGTTGCTGACTGCATAACCATATAGTGAGTCAGTCTGGAAAACCGAATTTCCTCGGAGGAGGCCCAAAGCTTAATGCAGAGACAATTGGTATTTCAATAGACTTGGCGTAGGAACAAAACACACCTATCAAGCCTCTCACAGCACACTAAAGACCCCTTATGAATGCCTGTGAGGAGCCTGTGGTGCAGATATGAGAACAGTTGGTTGGTTTTGAACTGATTTGGATCTGATTTTCATTTACCTCAAAGTACACCGCTACAATGTGGTTTTGCGGTATCTTTTTGGAGATATTTGATCCCGCATATTTTGGGACACACTGTATTTGTTTCTTTTATTATAGTAGAGTTGTAACTGCAGATGAAAAGTTTTATGAATATTATATATACAAACTACCATTCAAAAGTCGGGGGTCAGTAAAATTTCATATGCTCACCAAAGATGCATTTGTTTGATCAAAAACACCATGAAAACAGTAATATTGTGAAATATTATTGATCCTTCATACGATCCTTCATAAATCCTTCTAATATGCTGATTTGCTGCTCAAAAACATCTTATTATAAATGATGAAAACAGTTGTAAATATAGATATATATATTACTTTTATTATTATTTTTTGTAACATAATACACTCAAAAAAGGGCACTGTGCTGCAAAAATAAATAAACAAATAAATTATTAAAAAAAAAAAAAAAAAAAAAAAATTCAGCATCAATTCTTGCTGAATAAAAGAGTATTGAAAATATTGAATATCTGAAAAAAATGGAAATTGATTTCTTTGTTTCAAAAAAAAAAAATCTTACTGACTCCCAACTTTTGAACAGTAGTGCGCTCACACACATACACACACACACACACACAATAAAAACTTTATATTTTTACACAACAAACTCATTCTAATTGGTTAAACTTATAGTTTTACCTCTCATCCTCAGTCTCTCCAATAAATAAGAGCTTTAAATTGGCATCAACAAAATGGATCTAGATTTGCCAACAGCTGTCAGTATAGCACCACAAATTATAAGGCCATCTAATGGAATAACTGTTTTTTTTTATCCGTTTGGTTTGGGGTTTTTTATAATTATGAAGAAAAATGTTTTTTAAAAGCCAGATGAGTTGCTTTTAGGCTAATGAGGTTTCTTTGCTCTGTTGGGTATTAATTGGCCTTTCACTTCAGAGTGCATCAGAAATAACGAAAAATTTCTGTTGTGTCTATGATGCATAAATAGAGAAGAGTGAGAAGATACTGAATATATCAGATGCTATGCACTAGTATGACATTTTCCAGAAACGTCTGGGCTATCTGGTGGTTGTGCCCTGTGTGCCAGTCTCAGCAGGGCTGTGCTGTTTCTGCTAGTAAGGGGTCCAATTTCCTGAAATGTCTTCCTCAATTTCCTCCCAAACTCATTTAAACACACACAGGCATGTTTTGGTCTCGGCTGTTTTAAGAAAAAAAGTGCAGCCACACTTATCCTGCCCATCTCTTAGACTGCCTCCTATTTCTCTGTCTCTGAACTATCTTCTGCTTGCACTTCACAATTTCTGACAGGCATTTAAATTGAAACATGTATATATGATGCAACATGGTATATTCAGATTTCAGATTCTTATCTGAAAGCAGTGCTTCAGACCGTAATTGGTTTGTTGTGCTGAGTTATCAGTATAGAGAATGGCCTCGTTTTAAAATTCAGCCTTGAAACGTTGTCAGGCCTGGAAATCTATATCCGGTGACAAATATATTCTGTGCTCGAGTGGATCCAGTTTGTTTCTGCTCAGAAAATCAGGCACAACCCACACCTGCAATCGAACCAGAAAGATTTTCCCCTGCAAAACCTCTGCAATGAAATGAGAGAAATAACTCTTTTGTGGATTAGCTATGATTACACAGCTGTGAGTGGAGAAACTAGGTATTCAGACATGATCCTAGACAGCGTTGTTATGGGCAGATGGATGGGAAAGGAGAGCGGCAGTTGGTAAGCAAAAGAGGGAACACCTGTGGCCTGACACCACTCTCCAGCACAGCTGCTCATATTCCCCATTTCTGAGACCTTCGCTCATCACCACAAACACCCTCAGACTGAAATACAGATTAACTAGAGACAACCTTTCCAGCCTGCACCTGCTCAGTACTGTTATTTGGGCTACAGGATACCCCTTATTATTTGTAAAAACCTGATAGTGTAATTTCCAGCATCAAACATAATGACTGTTTTCAAACAGGTTTCTGAAAGACTCACCTTTGTTCGGCCAAAATGCACACTGCTGGTTGAGCCTGTTTGTGATAGCTTACTTATAACTGTCAATTTATAATAAACTAGGATAGGAATGACTATTTTTAACATTAAAAAGTCATACACTTCACATTTAACACTTAAATGTTTACCACAATTAGCCTTCAGCATCATTTTCTCATATACAGTAGTGTTTTAACAGTGACAGTTGGGTTCCGGAAGTAAAAAGCCCATTAATTTTCTCCATAGGGGAATTGATTTTTAGCAATAACTTCTAAAACCTTTAAAGGCAGACCTACTGTGAGCTACATGGTTGTTAATTGATGTTATATGCTTTCGTTGAAGCTGCATGATATCAAATTATTTTTAAACAATTGTGTTTAACAGCTGAATTCCTGGTGAAAAACCCAAAAATAAATAGTTCACCCAAAAATAAAAATTATGTCATTATACTCACTCTCATGTCGTTCCAAACCCGTAAGACCTTTGTTCATCTTCAGAACACAAATTAAGATATTTTTTGATGAAATCTGAGAGTTTTCTGACCCTCCATAGACCAAGGACTACTAGAGCAAGGGGACTACCATGGTCAAGGCATGGTTAAAATAGTCCATGTGACATCAATGGTTATAAGAGAAGAATATAAGAGAAGAATTGTTGAATAAAGTCATTTATTTTTCTTTGCTCACAAAAAATATTCTCGTAGCTTCATAAAATTACAGTTGAACCACTGATGTCACATGGACTATTTTAATGATGTCCTTACTACATTTCCTGGCCTTGACCATGGTAGTTGCATTGCTGTCTATGCAGCGTCAGAAAGCTCTCGGATTTCATAAAAATTTTTGTTCCAAAGATGAACGAAGGTTTTACTTGTTTGGAAAGGCATGAGATTTTCATTTTTGGGTGAACTATCCCTTTAAGTAAAAGACATTTTTTGAGCTCAGTGTAATTCAGTAGTTTTAAGTAGTAATACACAGGCTCTGATCACATCACTGGACTTCAATTACCACACAGTTATGAAACATGCCTCAGACCTCTCTGCATGCCAAACAGCTCATTTCCAGAAGGACACTCACTGAATGACAAAAGGATGAGCGTAGAGGCCAGCAAGCACCATCGCCTGTCATCCTACCCTGTCCCAAGGGAGATAAATTCTTATCATTCCAGCTTTCTGTAATTATAAGTAATTAGCAGCACAGGAAGTGGTATTTTAATGAGAGTCATTCTCTACTTATGTCCTCATCTTCATGCACCTTTTGACCAGTTCAAACCGAGCATAGGATGCATTTGGTTTGGACAAGGATGGATGTTTTATTCATATATTATCTGCTTGGTTTGTTTCCACATAAACAAATGAACCCAGTGTTTTGTTTTTCTGCTCCATAAGGCTGACTTCCACTGGCATTAGATTGATGGCGGTACATTGTAATTGTTAAGACGGAATGAGTTTGCAATCCGGATGCTTGTAGCTGACACTTCATCTTGCAACAATGTTCTCATTAACTCATAATTCATACACAAACTATAATTAAATATACATTTCCTGGCTGCTGTGGTGTCCAGAAGGGAGGAAGTCTCTAGCGTAGCATGTGGCATCTCTAAACGCCCTTTACCAACACCTGAAATCTCAGCACAAATATC